ACCTTGAGCTTCCAGTCTGTATCATTTCTGCACTGAGCTGTGCATGTTGTCAGGAGGAAACAGGGGACTGCTTGCCATGGGAATGGTCAGCAGTGAGATGGGATCTGAGAGCAGTGTGTGTGCTTAACGATGGGTAAGTGAATGTAGAATGTTAGCTGGAACTTGTGTTAGAAAGGATGAAAGAGTTGTAAAAAGGTGAAGAGGTGTTCAATTGACCAATTGTGTGGCTGTTTCTGGGGAGCAGGCTCAAAGTATCTGAGTGTAGAACAGGTGTCAGCAGCTCCTGTACAGTGTAGCTCACCTAAAACCAAATTCTGTCTTAGCAAAGATAAAGTGCTTTATTGTGTGCCCTGGTTGTCGTTTTCCCTAGTACTTTAGTGATAGGCACTGTCATAACCATACAGCTAAGGGTAGCCTAGAATTCCTTCTAACCTGTAAGGGGTTAAGAACCTCAAATAACCTGGTTGGCACCTGACCAAAAGGACCAATGGGGAAAGAAGATACTTTCAGATCTGGGGCGGAGGGGGGGAAGGCTTTGTATGTGCTCTTTGTTTGTGTGTTCTCTGGGGAAGCAGAGAATCATCAGGTCAGAAAACTCCTCCTCCTAAAATCATCCTAAAATGAGTCTCAATATTGCAAAAAGAGTAAGTAAATAAGGCAAAGCATGTTAGATTATCTTTTGTTTTTAGCTTGTGAATTTTCCCTTTGCTAGAGGCAGGTTTATTCCTGTTTTCTGTAACTTTGAAACTAAGCCTAGAGGGAGCTCCTCTGTGTTTGTGAATCTTTTGTTACCCTGTAAAGTTATCTTTCATCCTGATTTTACAGAGGTGATTCTTTCATCTTTTCTTTAAATAAAATTCTTCTTTTAAGTACCGGATTGATTTTTTCAGTGTCCTATAGACCCAAGGGGTTCGGTTTGTGCTCACTTCGTAACCAATTGGTTAGGATATTATTCTCAAGCCTCCCTAGGAAAGGGGGTATAAGGGCTTGGGCGGATATTTGGGGGGAGATAGGGCTCCAAGTGGCCCTCCCTGAATGTATGTTTAAATCACTTGGTGGTGGCAGCATACCGTCCAAGGACAAAAGGAATTTGTACATTGGGGAAGTTTTTAACCTAAGGTAGTAGAAATAAGGTTAGAGGGTCTTTCATGCGGGTCCCCACATCTGTACCCTAGAGTTCAGAGTGGGGAGGGAACCCTGAGAGGCACTATCTCAAATGGCCGGGTGCACATAGGTGTGGTGTTGGAGTAAAGGAAGGCTCATTGCTCACGTCGGTCAGATTTAGGGTTACATTCATAAGTACCTTATCTCTGCATTTCCTACTTATTACAAGTTTGAGTTTTGCTGATCTCTCTTCTGGAGGGGTACCAGACATTTCCGGGCAACCTTAAATCCTGAATTATCATTTTTTGAAAGTGAATTTCCTAGCTTTTTGCACAGAGCAATGTTGGCTGGAGGAGTTAGCAACGCTATAGGCAGTTGCGGGTCTCAAACAAGTTTGCAGTCAGAGGCAGATAGCAGTACAATGACTTACCCAAGGTCACCCGGGAGGTCTGTGGCAGAGCCAAGGAATTGTCCCTGTCCAGTGCTCTTTCCACGTAGTTGCTGGGTGATTCTAAAGTGCAGCTCCCCGCTCCTGTACTTTTTGTTATGGTGGAATGGGAATAATGGTTATACTTTCAAATGTCTCTCTCCTTCTCCACCTCCTCCTCCTGCCACCATTTCAAGCTCTGTCTCCCCTTCTTTCAAGTGTTTGTCATGAGCAGTTGGTAACCCAGCCAGTGAGAGCAATCTCCGACATGGTCTGTGCCCCAAGAGCTTGACAATTTAATTACATGGTGGTTACAGTAACTAAGTACATGAGTGAAGACTGGTGTTTGTCTCTCTCTCTTTCTCCACCTCCTCCTCTTCCTGCCAGCATTTCTCATCTATCCTATCCAGCCCTCTCTTAGCATTGTAGGACCCAGTAGCTGTCAGATGTACTAGGCTGCTGCACACACGTATTACAGGCAGTAGCATACTGTATGGCACATGCCAGCTTGGGCCTGATGTAGCCTGATCTGAACACTGAGCTGGGCCTCTCACTGCTACTTCCAGCTGGGCCTCCTGCCCCTGGTCCAGCCATGCCCTAGCTCTGCCCAGTCTGCCCCTCCTCCAAACATTCCCCCTCCCCTATACGCTCTGGGCTTCCCCCCCACACCATACACGGGTAACATGTGCCTTTTAAACTATTCATATTTTAGGATTTCAGATGATTAAATTTGTGTTACCTTCAGCTAACCACCCCCACCCCAGTTTCAGTAGTTTGGTGGTGCCCCAATGGTTTTCCATTTGGGAGGGAGCAAGGCTGGTCACTTGAGCTTTGCGTTACCTTGCCAGCTGACTAGTGAGAAGTGACGACTCCCTCTTGGGTGGATAGGCCGATCCTAGAGCCCGTTACCTCTCGGTGATTGATTTTTCTATTCCAAGTCCATAAAGTAGATTTTCAGTATAAATGCTTCTTTCTTTACATATGTCCCATACATTGATCTCTCAGTAATGTGAGAGATCAATGTCTAATGCTGGCCTTGCTTGGCAGCCCCCATGTTAACTGCTTGTGGCCCCCAGGGGGCCCCCGACCCCTGGTTGAGGACGACTGCCTTACACGATGAATCACAGCAGTGTTAAGGTTACTGCCAGTCCCAAAAGGACTAGTCACTTACTTAGGTCAATTGAGTCTTAGATCTCACAAGAAAGACAAAATTTGTAGCCAGTCCTGTAATAACCTGTATTTAGATTTATTTAAAAGGAAACGAGAGTTGTTTACAAAGTTAAAGCAGGTTAAAGCACATGCAGATGAGTTACAGTCTTAATTTTCAAAAGGTAATAGAAGCTTCTCTAATAAGTAAGCTCTACATATTCTTTAGGACTAACCCAGGCTAAGGAGCTGGGGATCTCTTGCTAATGCCTAGAAACTTTGTCCCCCAGAGTCCAAGCAGCATACAGATAATCAGTTCCTTCTGTATGGGGTTTTTATCCTTTTTCTGCCATGTGCTCTGAGCTACAAGCTCAGCTAATGGGAAGTCAAGAGCACACCAACACTCTTTTGTCTTCTTTAACATCCCATAATAGTCTATCTGGTGTTGATGGACCTTTCCTGCCAGGCAGGATGTAATTAATTCTATTGCCAATCAGCACTTCTCCGAGGTAAAGTCTCTCTCCTGTCTGGTGATTTACAGAGCCACAGAGGCTCACAGTGCAACTAGTCAGATATTAACCCAGGCAGCAACTCAATAAAGCATTCAATAAAATCTAAACACGAAACACATTGTTATAATTCTCATCCCTGTTTTAACAATAGTAACACAGGTGAGCCAGACTGATTCCAGCTCTGCGTTTGTCCATGTTAAATTAAGACTTGGGAGCTTTTGCAAGAGCTAACACCTCATCTGCCAGTGTCACAGGCAGGATGGGCAGGGATGGTGTCTCTAGCTTCTCTTTGCCAGAAGCTGGGAATGGGTGACGGGATGGATCACTTGATGATTCCCTGTTCTGTTCATTTCCTCTGATGCATCTGGCATTGGCCATTGAGCTAGATGGAGCATTGGTCTGACTCAGTGGGCCGTTCTTATGTTCACAGTCTCAATCAGGAGTATCTACTTATTTGACTCACTGGGGAGCCACAGAAAGAAAAAAGGTGTGCTGAGGCAAAAAGGCCCAGTCTTACAGCACGTGGGGTCATGCCTTCCAAAAGCTAAAACTAGGCCCAGCCCATGAAAGGGGGCACTCCCAGGAGAGACTGCATAAAGGCTGGAGCATCAAACGACTTTGTGAACCTGAGACAGCTGCCTTGGGGACAATGACAGGGAGAGTCCCCCAAAGTGAATCCTTTGATTCTGGTCTTTGGTTTACAGAATAATAGAACTGGAAGGTCGAGAGGTCATCTAGTCCAGTGCCCTGCACTCGAGGCAGGACTAAGTATTATTTAGACCATCCCTGAGAGGTGTTTTTCCAGCCTGCTCTTAAAAATACCCAATGATTGAGATTCCACAATCTCCCTAAGCAATTTATTCCAGTGCTTAGCCACTCTGACAGTTAGGAAGTTTTTCCTAATGTCCAACCTAAACTGCCCTTCCTGCAATTTAAGCCCCTTGCTTCTTGTCCTATCTTCAGAGGTTAAGAAGAACAATTTTTCTCCCTCCTCCTTGTAACAACCTTTTATGTACCTGAAAACTGTGATCATGTCCCCTCTCAGTCTTCTTTTCTCCAGAGTAAACAAATGCAATTTTTTCAATCTTCCCTCATAGGTCATGGTTTCTAGACCTTTAATAATTTTTGTTGCTTTTCTATGGACTTTCTCCAATTTCTCCACATCTTTCCTGAAATGTGGTGCCGAGAACTGGACATACTACTCCAGTTGAGGCCAAATCAGCGTGGAGTAAAGAGGAAGAATTACTTCTTGTGTCTTGCTTATATACTCCTGCTAATACATCCCAGAATGATGTTTGCTTTTTTTGCAACAGTGTAACATTGTTCACTCATATTTAGCTTGTGATCCACTATGACCCCCATATCCCTTTCCGCAGTACTCCTTCCTAGGCATCATTTCCCATTTTGTATGTGTGCAACTGATTGTTCGTTCCTAAGTGAAGTACTTTGGATTTGTCCTTATTGAATTTCATTCTATTGACTTCAGACCATTTCTCCAGTTTGTCCAGATCATTTTGAATGTTAATAGTATCCTTCAAAGCACTTGTGACCCCTCCCAGCTTGGTATCGTCCGCAAACTTGATAATTGTAACAGAGAGACTCTGATACTTGGAGGGTTTCACCGTGTCTCAGAAGGTTGAATCCTGGTGGGAGGGGGCTAGGCCTGTACTGGAATAAGGTCACTCTGTGCTTCACAGTGTGGCAGAAACTAGAATGTCCATTAGCAGGGAAAAATCCTGGGGGGAATCAGCATGCGGAATGGACAAAAATCCCGTCTGAATTCTCTCACATTGCCCTTCTCGCCCTGGCAGGCTACAGAATAATGTCCACATTTCACTCCAGATCATCCTGTCCTCCCAGGGGGAAGGAAATGGCTGCAATGGAGCTGGCTCAGGTAAGGGATTATCAGGGAGCTGGTGGTGGGTTCTGCTTGGATGGAGAGGAGCAGTAAATGCATAGGAGGGTGGGAGCTGCTAGAGGCAGTGGGAGGCAGGAACTATCTAAGATGGAGAAAGGGAGGGGACAGGATGTGACAAACCTGCTGAGACTTGTGTAATCTAGGGTGTGATGGGTTGTCACCCCGGGGTGCAGTCTTGGGGGCTTCTGGGAACGACTGTGCCCTCTAACCCTCAAGCTGGGCTGGCCATTTTCACACTGCTTTGCTGGAGATTCAGCCAGCCTCTCCAGGCCCTGTTATCACCCAACAGAACAGCAGGTGGCGCCATGCATCCAACTAAGCTACCTGAGTGCTTTACCTAAGCCACTCAAGGACAGATAGAAGACAACAATCAGTTTCCCAGCGATAAGTGATAGCAAACAGATCAAAGCAGATTACTTAGGCTTAGTTTGAGTTTTTGGTTATTTGCTAACATACTCGGTGGATAGAATTTGAATTAGCAATTTCTTACCCTGACTGATGATAGAAGCAGTCCACCAAGTTTCCATACACAAGCTTGAAATCCCATTACCCTGGGACCAACACTTCCCCTTGTTCAGTCTTTGTTCCTCAGGTGCTTCCTCGGATGGAGAAAGTGAACAAGGAAAAGTTATTTACTTGTTCCCATAATATAAGAACTAGGGGCCACCAAATGAAATTAATGGGCAGCAGGTTTAAAACAAATAAAAGGACATTCTTCTTCACACAGCGCACAGTCAGCCTGTGGAACTATTTGCCTGAGGAGGTTGTGAAGGCTAGGACTATAACAGGGTTTAAAAGAGAACTAGATAAATTCATGGAGGTGAAGTCCATTAATGGCTAGTAGCCAGGATGGGTAAGGAATGGTCTCCCTAGCCTCTGTTTGTCAGAGGGTGAAGATGGATGGCAGGAGAGAGATCACTTGATCATTACCTGTTAGGTTCACTCCCTCTGGGGCACCTGGCATTGGTCACTGTTGGCAGACAAGATACTGGGTTGGATGGACCTTTGGTCTGATCCAGTATGGCCATTCTTCTGTTCCAGGAGTTCTCTTTTGTGGGGAATGAGGCCAAGAGATGATGTCACACCCACCTTATGTAGCTTTCCCATATAGGGGTGAACCCTTTGTTTCAAACTCAGTTCCCAGTCCAGTTTGTTGAAAAATACAGGTACCAAAATGGAGTTCAGTGTCATGTGGTCAGGTCACATGCCCTAGCATGCCCTTCTGAGTCATTGTAGCCATGACTCATAGGCTGGCTGAAACATTCACAGGAAGGCTAAGCTCTTCCATGGTCCATTGTCTTGATGAGCCATCAACACTGTCTGGCTTCTTCATTGTTATACCTGAAAGGCTAGTTGTGGGTGTTACCCAGAGTAAGCACATTTGAAATACAGATACATAGTCAATATCCATAACTTCAGATACAAACATGATCCATGCACACAAATAGGATAATCATACTCAGCAAATCATAACTTTTCCAATGACACCGCATGTGACCCATCTTGCACAAAATGCCTCATAATTATGTCCTAATCATATTATAATCATACCACTGTGCTGAATATGGGGTGTAGTGTCAGATAGGGCCTAATTTCAAGGCACAGGAGTTGGGATTGGAACTTCCCCCTCTTTGTGGAACAGGAAATAACCCTCCAGCCAGGGCTGGGAAAACTTCCCAGACTGCCAGTGCTGGAGCCTGAATCTACTGAGTCTTCATTAGTTACCACCACCACCCCCATCTTTAACTGCAACTGCAAACTTCATCAGTGACGATTTTATATTCTCTTCCAGGTCATTGATAAGAATATGAAATAGCACAGGGCCAAGAACCAATCCTTGTGGGAACCCGCTAGAGATAAATCCACTCGACCATGGTTCCCCACTTACAATCCCAGTTTTTAATCTATTAATGTATGCCGTGTGTATTTTGTATCTTTCCAGTTTTCCAGTCAAAATATTGTGCTGAACCAAGTCATATGTCTTACAGAATTCTAGGTATATTACATCACCACTATTAGCTGCAACTAAATTTTTCATCTCATTAAATAAGGATATCCAGTTAGTTTGATAGGGTCTATTGTGTCTACACCTTTGTTCATGGGTACTGATTATATTACCCTCCTTTAATTCTTTATTAATTAAATCCAGTATTGGCTGCTCTATTATCTTGCCCAGTATCGATTTCAGACTAACACTCTTGTAATTAGCTGGGTCATCTCTTTTACACTTTTTAAATATTGGCACAGCATTAGCTTTATTCCAGTCCTAATTAAAATCAACATTAACAGACCACCACGCTCCACACCTACGTCTTTCAAAACTCTTGTTATCTGGACCCGCTGATTTAAACACGTCTAACTGTAATACCTGCTGTTTAACATCCTCGTGAGTTATTGTTGGAATGGAAAGAGTGTAATCCTCAACAGCTTGTGATATGAGTATATCATCTGTTTTTCTCCAAATCCAGGAGATAAATATTTCTTGAATGCTTTTATCTCTTCTGCATTTCGTTTGATAATTCTGCCATTTCCATCTATTAATTTACCACTACCATTGCTAGGATTTTGTTGGGATTCCTACCAGGGAGTCGCCGGCAGGGTTCAGAGACAGCCTTATCTCCTGTATCAAGCTCTGGCTAGTAGGTGTGTGATAAATGTGAAGATCTTGCCTCTGTCTGTCACACAGGTTCTCTCTTTCTACCCTCTGATGCCTTCTGGCTGCTCTAAGCAAGGGTGGGACTCCGTTAACATGTGCCTCCCGGAGCTTCCATTTACCTGTTGCTGCTGTTTTGTGAATAGTGGGGTTGTGACTGGGGCAGCAGGTACTGAGTGTTGGACTCTTTCTGTTTTAGGGGCTGGTGACTTTCGATGAGGTGGCTGTGTATTTCACCAGGGAAGAGGGGGCTCTGCTGGACCCCACTCAGAGAGCCCTCTACAGGGATGTCATGCAGAAGAACTATGAGACAGTGGTCTTGCTGGGTAAGGAGTCCTGTTCCCTTGGTTTTGAGAAGCTGTGGGGTCTGTAAAGAACATCAGTAGAAATAAATTTATACCTTTATTCGTCATACAAATTTTGACAAGTTTCCTTGCTCCCCCCTCTTTTGCCTTACCTCCCACCCACTAGTATAATTTTTGGACATGTGCCTTTTTGGTGCCATCAGTCATTTTAAAATTGCATTTATTGTATCCTTATTGGCTACATTAATAACTACATCATATAACTGTAGCTTTCATGCCTTTTCCTCATTTTAAGAGGAAAATATGCTGTCTGTAGAATTCTAAATTCAGTAAATAGGTGTATGACTCATGCATGGCTTGTGTGACAGTCAGATGAGGTCCTCTTTTGATAGGAGAGAGTATAATGTTGCCATTCAGGACCCCGCGGGTGAAAGGAGAACAGAGCTGTGGGAGGGGAGGAGAAGGGGGGGAGTAGATAATTCTGGGGTACCAGGACAGGCGGAGGGTGTGTGAGGGTTAGGGCTAAGAAGCAGCAGGGAGGGATGAGGTAGTGAGAGACGAGGAGGGAACACAAGAAGTTCCCAAGGTTCCGGGAGGTGGTGCTGGCTGAAAGTAATGAGAAGAAGGGCACCCAGGAAGTGGGCTGGATGGGTCAGTAGCAGGGAGGAGAGGTTTGGGGATGAAGAGCTATGGGGGGGTCCCAGACGTTTAACCCCAAATCCCTACCTAAGCCTTGTTGGTTTAGAGCCTACGCTCCAGTTTTATTTCTGTTCATTTTCGCTTCATGATACATTTTCCCCCCAAATACTATTATTTTAACTCTTGACCTCCCTCTCAATTACCCCCCTCCCCATATAACCTCCCCATCTCTATGCACAGGGACCCTGGCCAACCATCCCCAGTCCTTGCTGCATTTCTCCCTCCCATAGAAGGACACTACCCAGGCACTAATGGGGACTTTGTTGATGATGTCACAGGCTGGTAGTGTAGCCTGTACCATTTTTACACCTATAAGGTTACGTATTGGGGTACAGCTTGCCCTTGTCCATGGCGACTCACAGTTAATGGAGGAGATGAAATTTGGTGAAACACAGAGAAACTTGATATAATACAGACAGTTATAATTAAAATCATAGGCAAGGATCAATACACATAATGATTAGACTGAGATTAATATAGTAAAGAGGGTCTTTCAGGGTGCATACTTACAAGTTATTGACACCATTGGAAACAAAGATTGAGGGGCAAGGGAGCCCATCAGAAGGGAGGCCCTGCTTCAGTTTACACTATCTCGGGGACCCAACAAAATGAAAAAATGGTACCTAGGAGAGGTATTTTATCTGCTTTCTTATGTTAATAGGATGACTATATACTTTATCTGCTCCTTTACTCTGATTACGATAATGTCAATAGCTGTCCCCAACCCATATGTGGCCTTTGGGAAGTCCATAATTAGGCATCAAGCATTAATACTCATGATTTACTTATTTATTAATAATTCCAATATATGAATGCAGTCCAACTGCTGAGATACTTCATAGCAACCTAATTGTGAAAGCCCGCCCCAAACTTCCTTCTTTCAGAATCCTGTGGTGTATTGCACCTGTTTGTGGTTACTCGTTAGTCTCTCAGAATGAAGGTGCAAAATATCTGACCTAGGATTCGCTCCTTCGGCCTGTTCAGGTTAATCCCAGACTTCAGCATAACTACTCCCACAAAGCCTCAACCTAATATAAGGCCCTTACCTGTAGCAACCTTAGGTTATGTCTACACTACCCTGGTCAGTCAACCTACCCTGCGCAACTCCAGCTATATGAATAATGTAGCTGGAGTCGATGTACCTTAGGTCGAGTTACCGCAGGGTCTACTTACCTTACTCCTCTCATCAGGGGTAGAGTACAGGGGTCGACTAGAGAGTGATCTACAGTCAATTCGGCAGGTCTTTACTTGACCTGCTACATCAACCACCGGTGGATCGATCTCAGAGCTTTGATCCCGGCTGTAGTGTAGTCCCTGCCCTTAATAACCCATTTATTTATGTTCACCTCCTTCCCCCTCCACACATGTTCCAAGCTAATAAGCAATACTCTGATCATGACATTTTACCTCTAGCGAGTATAAAATTGCCCACAACACATGAGACTAGGTCATAGATCATAAAATCAGGTCGGGGTCAACAGGAGTGAGAGTTTGGAGAGAGTCTTTTCCCCGCTCTCCCCATCTGCAGCAGCCACAAGCTGTCTTCCCTCCGGGCTCCTTGGATCTTTGAGCCTGGCCCTCCTGAGTTTGCGTGTCCCAGTTCTTGTTTTTACATTCTCCTTTTCTGGAAGAATTAGAGGCTGTTGCTCCTGAATTTTAGTGTTTCATTCCCCAGCCTTCTCCACACACTGGGAGAGTTTCATTCTCCCTCCCATTACACCTGAGTCAGTAGATTTCCTAATTCCCCAAAATGTGCTTTTGTGATGTCACAGTTCTGGGGTAGTTAAGCCTTTGACCTGCCCCCATGGTCTGCTCAAGCAATGCCCTCTCAGGTATCAGGCCTCTAGCCAGCCCCTCTCTATGGGTGAGGACCCACATGCCTCTCCTTTTTGACCAGAGTTTGAGGATTGCAGCTTGTCCTCCACTGTTTTCACTGGACTGAGCTCCAGCTCTTGTGCTTTGCTTTCTCTCCCAGGGCTCTGAGCAGCGTGTGTGTGTGATAGAGGTGGGAATTTTGGTGATACATGTATGATGCCAATACACACCTCAGTTTCCCTCTGTGATTGGTATTGCTATGATTATAAAGAGCAGGAGACATGAGGTGTTCTGTCATGTAGCTGTCGTGGGGTGATATGAATGGGTCACTAAGGACTGGCTGGGACCATCCTACATCAATGGAAAACCCAACAGAGAAAAGAGAATAATTGTTACCTGTCCATGGGAGGATCTCAGCTTGGCTGAGTGAAGCATACATGGACTCGTTATGTTTTTGGGAGCAGGAAGAACTGAGATTGCAGATGCAGGCAGCTCTACTGGAGCGAAGACAAATGGACAGGCACAGTGAAAGGAAACCAAACTGTTTTCTATAGCAGCATGGCTCAAGGGCATTGGCCAGTACGGACTGTATTGTCTTCTTCGCTTCTCTCTCCTAATCTGAGGACTTTCCAATGCTGTGTTTAACTTGACTAATAAACCCTGTTGTGTTTTAAAAGTCTGCCCAGTGTCACAGGAAAAACTTGCTCTGTGCATTGACTGAGGAACAGTCTCTGAAGAGGAGTGTCGTTCAGCTGGACCTGCTGGGCAGAGCTCACAGGTTGGAATAGGAGTGTTGAAGCCAGAGGCTCAGTCTCTGGTGTTGAAGCTCCATGGCTCATCCTTGTGGAAGAGTGGGACCTCCTGGGGGGTCTCGTGCACTGAATGGGCAGCTCCCAAGGACTGTTTAAAAGCCTAGGCATTGCACAGATCCTATGGATCCATGACAGTGTGCCCATGTGCTTTATGGGGAAAAGATATAAAAGAAGAAAAGGATCTAAATGTGTATTTGCTATTGCCCCCTCCTCAGTCATCATGGGAATCCCTGATCAGTTCCAAAGTGTATTAAAACCTTCCTTAAAGGCTTACCTCTTGGTTATCAGGTCATGTCAGTTTTGTTAGAGGGCTTTCTCTTCACCCTCCCATTTCCCTGGTTCTTGTCATGCAGACAGAAAGCAGCAAAAGACCAGAAGTCCGAAGTGCAGATAATACGATGTTTATTGGGGTTAGTTTCCAAGCAAGCATGTTGCAAAGCCCTTCACATCAGTTGGTCTTATCTCTATATGTCCATAGAGTCTGTTCCCCAGTGTTCTGTTCCCAGCCCCGACACCACAGAGCATTTATCCCGTGTCTCCCTTCACAGCTCTGAGGCCACAGAGCCTTGCCTGTGTCCCTGTTCCCGTTTCCCCCCTTAACAAATATGATTCCAATTTCCCTTCCCCCTCCTGTTTGACCCTGGCTATATAGTAATATTCTCAGCTATACCTTAACCAGCATTGTACGGAAATTTAACTAAGCAATTCTAGCATATTGTAACGTAATTCTCTAATCAATTATACCGCACCACCCTAATTAACTTACAACTAGCAAAATTAATTATACAGCAGACAGAAACAATTAGAGAACCAGACTGATTAACAAGGTAAAAGTGGTGGCCATAAAGATAAAACAATACAGAAATGAGGGTTTCACAAGCATTGAAAAGTGATTTCTTGCCAGACAGGATGCTATCAAACTAATGCTATCTTTAAGCATCTTAAGATCTGTTTCTTTATCTGGTGGTGATGGGCACCATCTGGACAGGATCGTCTTCCTAACAGCCCAATACCACCTTATGTCAGTGTGACTGGTTTGGGAAGTGAGGATGTGACCCTATGCTTCCCAGCTTATGGCTGCCCCTGCTGCTTGGCCAAAAGCCTTAGCCTAAGCACAAGGCCTCAGACTATCCTCGTGAGAGAAGGCCCATACACAGGCGGACTGTGATTTTGATTCTTTGTTTTTATACCCCTGTAAGTAGCTAAGTGATAAAAACGCACCTAAGTTCTTAAAGTATAAGCTTCACAGGCAGGCCTGAATACCAATATTCTAACAGTGGGTTCTACCCCGTCCCCCATTCTGTGTCTGTCTTTTCTATTTAGATTGTAAATTCTTCAGGGCATGGGCCATCTACTATTCTCTGTACTTTCCCTAGTATAATGGTGACCCACTGTTAGTTGCTCCTTAGGCACTAAGGTAATGAATATTATTTATATAATAATAATAACTATTCTGCCACTTTGAGCCAATGAAGATGGCCTTGGGATGTTAGTGCTTAAAAAATGAGCTGGGATTACAACCATGGACTGTTCTTTGTGACAAGTATCCCACAAATTCCACTGACCTCCCTTGTTTTCTTTGCCTGGAGTAGGGTTTCCAGTTTCCAAACCTGATGTGATCTCACAGCTGGAACGAGGGGAAGAGCCATGGGTCCCAGACCTCCAGGGCTCTGAGAAAGAAGTGCTCCCGAGAGCTGCCTGCACAGGTGAGGAATTGGTTAAACCAACTCAAAAACTGTTTGGGAATGCAGGAAACATTTGGGATACCCTACAAAGACCTTGTGAGCTCTCCAACTTCAGGATAGTTCCCTGCAGATGTGGAATCATTATGCCAGATGTCACCCAGGGCTTCCCTCCTATTCTGATTGACAACTGGCAACAGGTCCCTCCCCGATCTCACTTTTCCCTGAGTGTTCTAGTGAGATGTGGACCAAAACCTTATCCCTTCCTCTCAACTCTGGGAAAGGGTTAGGGGAAAATCAGCTCCTGATAGGTTTGATCTCTCCCACACATATTTTGGTTTGTTCATCCCTTTTTCCATTCCTCTCTCTGAGATTTCCTTTATTTCTGGCACAGGGAGTGACCTATGTCTGGATTCTCTTTGTCTCCCATCAGGTGATGGGATGGTGACTGAGAATGAGGAGGAGACACCCCAGCAGGAAGATGCTGAGCAAGTAGAACCCCATGGGATGTTATCAGGAAGATCCAAAGGGAATGTTTCCAGGAGTTGTGCACTCCCAGAAAAAGCAAAAGCCTGTGAGAGTCAGCAGAGGCCAGAGGAAAACTTGAGTAGCCACTCAGACCTTATTACATGTGAGAGAATCAACTTGCAAGAGACACGCTACACATGCTATGAGAGTGTGAAAAGAGAAGAGAGACCTTACATGTGCTCTGAGTGCAGGAAAAGCTTTAGTCATAGCTCTGCACTTATCACACATTGGAGAATCCACACGGGAGAGAAGCCCTACACCTGCTCGGAGTGCGGGAAAAGCTTCAGTCGGAGCTCACACCTTATCACACATCGTAGAACCCACACAGGAGAGACGCCCTACACGTGCTCTGAGTGCGGGAAAAGCTTCAGTCAGATCTCTATGCTGAGCACACATCGTAGAACCCACACAGGAGAGACGCCCTACACGTGCTCTGAGTGCGGGAAAAGCTTCAATCACAGCTCTTCCCTGATCACACATCAGAGAATCCACACAGGAGAGACGCCCTACACATGCTTGGAGTGCGGGAAAAGCTTCAGTCAGAGGTCTGCCCTGACCACACATCAGAGAATCCACACAGGAGAGACACCCCACACATGCTCTGAGTGCGGGAAAAGCTTCAGTCAGAGTGGGAGCCTTATCAGACATCAACGAATCCACACAGGGGAGAAACTCTACACATGCTCTCAATGCGGGAAAAGCTTCAATCAGAGCTCACACCTTATCACACATAGAAGAATCCACACAGGTGAGAAACCTTATGGATGCTCTGAGTGTGGGAAATGCTTCATTCGTAGTTCAGCCCTCATCTCACATCAGAGAATCCACACAGGAGAGATGCCCTACACATGCGCTGAGTGTGGGAAAAGCTTTAGTGGGCACTCAGCCCTTATCACACATCGTAGAATCCACACAGGAGAAAAACTCTACACATGCTCTCAGTGCGGGAAAAGCTTCAATCAGAGGTCACACCTTATCACACATAGAAGAATCCACACAGGTGAGAAACCTTATGGATGCTCTGAGTGTGGGAAATGCTTCATTCATAGTTCATCCCTCATCTTACATCAGAGAATCCACACAGGAGAGAAGCCCTACACATGCTCTGAGTGCGGGAAAAGCTTCAATCGCAGCTCGCACCTTCTCACACATAGAAGAATCCACACAGGTGAGAAACCTTATGGATGCTCTGAGTGTGGGAAAAGCTTCAGTCGGAGCTCACACCTCATCAGACATCAGCGAATCCACACGGGGGAGATGCCCTACACATGCTATGAGTGCGGGAAAAGCTTCAGTGAAAGTTCCAGCCTTATTAGACATCAGAAAATCCACGTGAGAGAGAACTGTAACAAATGCCTTGACCAGGGCTGACCAAAGATTTATTATTTTTTTGGAAATCACATTTGCTAATTCCCACATAGTGATCTTTGCACCATCTTCACCATGGTCTCTCAGCTCCCCCAGATCAGTTGCCTGTGTCTGCCTTTTGCAGCTCACCCTTCTTTGGGGTCAGTCCTGTGATCTTTCCTATCAACTGCTTTCCTTTTGAGTCGTAGGAGTGTGTGTCCCTCCAGCCAGGAATGTTCATCATCTCCAGGTGGGAGAGAGAGGTTTGATCCTTAGAAGCTACACTGAGGCAAAATCTACCTGTGCCTTACATCCACTAGGGCTGTACATGGCTTTGGCTCCTCACGTGAGTGATCTTGGTGTAAAAAGACATTTATAGTGGTAGAGCAGATGCAGTCCAGGTGCAGTGGTTGTCATTAGCTTTCCCCTTGACCTGACCTAAACTCCATCACTTTTCCTAGTCTAAACAAACCCTGAGCATCACAGTTATACTGTTCCCCCATTTCAAAGCAATTGTTAGTCATCAAGTTCCCACTTCGGGAACAAATGGTTTCATTCCCAGTTGCTCTGTTGTTGCATTAGGTTGTGCTGGAGAGCAGATATTTTTACTACCATTTTCCTCCCTTAAAATATATTCAACTATAATAAAGAGTAGGAATGGGGCAGGGATAGGGAAAAATGTCAATTTACTGTCTGTAACAACAGAAGAAGATAGGGTCAGTCAGAGGGATTCCCTTACTCCCCATCCCCATCCCAATCCCCCCTGTTGTTCAATTGGTTACGTCAATATTTTTTCTGAAAGGCTGGGAAGAGGATTCCCTAGTAAATGACTTGTAACTAAGCAAAATACCCATCCATTTGGCTCCCAAAGCAGTTGTGGCCCAGGCCCGCAGGAGGTCGCTCCTGAAGATATCTCCTTCCTAATCAGATGCATGTTGCCTATTATTTGGGAAATGCAATCCCTATCTAGGTAGAGATGGGAAAAATGGAAGTGACATTGCTGTTCAGCTCACCCCTGGGAGATGCTGCAAACGTGTAGAAAATGAAATCCGTGTGGAATGTGATATACCTGCAGAAAGACACCTATTGTTAATAGATACCTGACATTTGGTGTCTTACACGGAATCTAAGCAGCACCTGAATTTAGTCCCTAATTTAAATCTGTGCCACCAGATTAAAGAAATAAAAGGGTATATTTGGGGGCGTTATACCTCACTATCGCTACTGATATGTTGTGTGGTTGGTGAAGAATTCTACTCCAGAGAAGTGTAAAATTACTCCAAGTGTATGTCTACAGTATGAAATTAGGTTGATATTATATAAGTCAATTTTTAGAAATCGATTTTATACAGTCGATTGCATATGTCCACATTAAGCGCATTAAGTCGGCGTTGTGTGTCCTCACTGCCATGGCTAGCATTGATTTATGGAGTGGTGCACTGTGAGTAGCTATCCCACAGTTCCCACAGTCTCTGCCGCCCATTGGAATTCTGGGTTAAGCTCCCAATTCCTGATGGGGCAAAAACATTGTCACGCGTGGTTTTGGGTACATGTCGTCAATCGCCAGATCACCACGGCCGTTATGAGCATTGTAAACACCTTGCGCATTATCCTGCAGTATGTGCAGAACCAGAACCTGCAAAAGCAGGTGAGGAGGCGACGGCAGCGCGGTGACAAGAGTGATGAGGACATGGACACAGACTTCTCTCAAAGTATGGGCCCTGGCAATTTGGACATCCTGGTGGCAATGGGGCAGGCTCATGCCATGGAATGCCGATTCTGGGCCCGGGAAACAAGCACAGACTGGTGGGACCGCACAGTGTTGCAGGTCTGGGATGATTCCCAGTGGCTGCGAAACTTTCGCATGCATAAGGGCACTTTCATGGAACTTTGTGACTTGCTTTCCCCTGCCCTGAATCGCAAGAACACCAAGATGAGAGCAGCCCTCGCAGTTCACAAGTGCGTGGCGATAGTCCTGTGGAAGCTTGCAATGCCAGACAGCTACTGGTCAGTTGGCAATAAATTTGGAGTGGGCAAATCTACCGTGGGGGTTGCTGTGATCCAAGTAGCCAACGCAATCACTGAGCTGCTGCTATCAAGGGTAATGACTCTGGGAAATCTGCAGGTCATACTAGATGGCTTTGCTGCAATGGGATTCCCTAACTGTGGTGGGGCCATAGATGGAACCCATATCCCTATCTTGGGACCGGATCACCTTGGCAGCCAGTACATAAACTGCAAGGGGTACTTTTCAGTGGTGCTGCAAGCACTGGTGAATCACAAGGGACGTTTCACCGACATCAATGTGGGATGGCCGGGAAAGGTACATGACGCTCGCATCTTCAGGAACTCTGGTCTGGTTAAACACCTGCAGGAAGGGATTTACTTCGTAGACCAGAAAATAACTGTTGGAGATGTTGAAATGCCTATAGTTATCTTTGGGGACCCAGCCCACCCCTTAATGCCCTGGCTCATGAAGCCGTACACAGGCAGCCTTGACAGTCATCAGGAGCTGTTCAGCTAGGCTGAGCAAGTGCAGAATGGTTTTAGAATGTGCATTTGGACGTTTAAAACCGCGCTGGTGCAGTTTACTGACTCTGTTAGACCTCAGCACAACCAATATTCCCATTTTTATTGCTGCTTGCTGTGTGCTCCACAATATCTGTGAGAGTAAGGGGGAGATGTTTATGGTGGGGTGGGAGGTTGAGGCAAATCGCCTGGCCACTGATTACACACAGCCAGACACCAGGGCTATTAGAAAAGCACAGCAGGGAGCACTGCGCATCAGAGAAGCTTTGAAAACCAGTTTCATGACTGGCCAGGGTACTGTGTGACACTTCTTGTTTGTTTCTCCTTGATGAAAACCCGCCCCCTTGGTTCACTCTACTTCCCTGTAAGCCAACCACCTTCTCCCCTTCGATTACCGCTTGCAAAGGCAATAAAGTCATTGTTGTTTCAAAATCATGAATTCTTTATTAATTCATCACACAAATAGGGGTATAACTGCCAAGATAGCCCGGGAGGGGTGGGGGAGGAGGGAAGGACAAGGCCACACTGCACTTCAGAACTTATTGAATGCCAGCTGTCTTGCTTGGGCAGTCCTCTGGGGTGGAGTGGTTGGGTACCCGGAGAGCCCCCCCACCGCATTCTTAAGCATCTGGGTGAGGAGGCTATGGAACTGGGGAGGAGGGTGGGCAGTTACACAGGGGCGGCAGCGGCGGTCTGTGCTCCTGCTGCCTTTCCTGCAGCACCACCAGATGCCAGAGCATATCAGTTTGATCCCCCAGTAGCCTCTGCATGGCATCCTGCCTCCTCTCATCTCGCTCATCCCTCCTATCCTCGTGTTCATTTTCTGCTTTCCTGGACTCTGACATTGTTTGCCTCCATGCATTCTGCTGAGCTCTTTCAGTGCGGGAGGACTGCATGAGCTCAGAGAACATTTCAACGTGAGTACATTTTTTTCTCCTTATCTGCGCTAGCCTCTGGGACGGAGATGATAGGGGGAGCGTTGAAACATCTGCCGCTGCGGGAGGAAAAAAAGGGAGAGTAGTATTTAAAAAGATACATTTTAGAGAACAATGGGTAGACACTTTCATGATGAACCAAGCTGTTAACATGACAGAGCAGATATGCTTTCGGTAAAAGGTCGCATTTTTCCTCTTATATTGAGGGCCTGCCGGTTTGGTGTGAGAGATCACACATGCAGGGCCGGGCAACAGAATTCGGCTTGCAAGCAGCCATGGTAAGCCACAGTCTTTTGGCTTCTTTAACCTTCATAACATGTGGGAATGGTTTCAAACAGCAGTGCCCTCCTTTCCCATACCAAGCACCCGTTGGGTTTGCCATTTAAAAGGAGGGGCTGTGGTTTTCAGGTTAATGTGCAGCACAAACCCAACTACTCCCACCCCCCCAATTCTCAGATGATCGCTTCACCCCTCCCCCTACTGCATGACTAGTATCAGGGAAGATTCCTGCCAGCCAAACATGAACCCCCCCCCCCCCCCCGGCAACATGGCTAACAGCAGGGATGATTTCTTTTCAGCCACCGGAAAACAGCCCAGTAGGAATAGCCATCTCTGAGTGTCCCCTTAATAATGTCCCTGGAGGATTTCCACTCCATCCCCAGACACGTTAACAGACTTTTCCAGTTGCTGTACTGGCCACAAATGCATCCCAAATCTTCAGGGCAAATTAATCATGAAACACGCTTGCTTTTAAACCATGTATTATATTTACAAAGGTACACTCACCAGAGGTGCCTCCTCTGGCTTCATGGTCCGGGAGCCCGCCTTGGGAGGGTTGGGAGGGTATTGGCTCCGAGGTGATAAACAGTTCCTGGCTGTCAGGGAGAACAGTTTCTCCACTTGCATGCTCTGCACTATCCTCCTCCTCCTCCTCTTCTTCATCCCCAAAATCCTCATCCCTGTTGCATAAGACTCCCCGCTTGCAGGTGTCCACGGACAGGGGTGGGGTAGTGGTAGCCCCCTCCCCGAATTGTATGCAGCTCATCATAGAAGCAGCATGTCTGGGGCTCTGACCCAGAGCAGCCATTTGCCTCTTTGGGTTTTTGGTAGGCTTGTTTGAGCTCAGTTTTCAAGTGGCACTGCTGCAGATCCCTGTTGTGGTCTCTGTCCATCATGTCCTTGGAGAATTTTGCAAATATTTTGGCATTTTGTCTTTTGGAACGGAGTTCTGATAGCATGGATTCGTCTCTCCATACAGCGAGTCTCTGGAACATAAGGGAAATTCACAGTCTCTCCCTCACATATCCCAGGCCTCCTTTCCAGGTCCTGGCTGTGGTGCAGGGATGCCACAGGTCGGACACTAGCTCTGGCGGTGGCCACATGTGTGTGCTGTTTCTTGTGCAATGAAAGCAAACTTTTATAATGGTAAATCCTCTTTATTTTTTTTTTGCTATAAGGTGAGATAGCAGGAAGTGCCAATACATTCACAGGCATTTTAATCACTTTATTACAGGAATCGAAGGCCCCAAATGTCACCATTGCCCCCAAGGAAAACAACATGGCATGTAACATTGAATCAACTCAGAAAGAGATATATGTTACTGGAGGTCATTGTCAAAGTGCTGCCTCAAAGCCTCCCTAATTCAAATAGCTCCCCTCTGGGCTCCTCTGACAGCCCTGGTATCTGGCTGCTCAAAATCAGTGCCCAAGCGGTCTGCCTCAGCACTCCACCCACGAGCAAACCTTTCACCCATAGCGTCACAGAGATTATGCAACATACAGCAATGACCATTGGAATATTATCCACATTGAGGTCTAACCTTCCATAAAGGCATCGCCAGTGCGCCTTTAATCTGCCAAAGGCACATTCCACTGTCATCCAGCACCTACTCAGCTGTTGTTGAACCACTCCTTACTGCTTTCCTGGTGTCCCGTGTAAGGTTTCATGAGCCATGGCTGTAAGGGGTATGCTGGGTCTCCCAGAATCACTATGGGCATTTCAACACCCCCCACTGTAATCTCATGGCTGGGAAAGTAAGTCCGTGCTTGCAGCTACCTGTTAAAACAAGCTGCAAAACATCATACCCACAACACGACCATGATGTGCATGGGCGCTGGGAACCCCCAGATGAGTGGATCATGACTGGCCATTGGCAGAAATCTGTCTGTATATTGGGAGTGGTGAGCGTAAGAAGTTTGCTTGGTATATGTGTTCTGTGTGTGTTGCTAATAAATAGATGTTTAGAGCACAGCTGCGTAAGGATCTTTCACTGGGAAAAGGTCCTGTAAACCTGTAGGGCACTGAGCCCCATGGGAAAGGGCTGGTACTTAAATTGACCAGGTTTCTTCCTGAGCCCCCTGAGTAAGGATAGGTGTCTCACACCCCCAGCCCTTGGCAGGATAGAGGTGGGGTGCCCTACACTGTGCGGGTAAAACCCCAAGCACAACCGATTCTGTCATTCCTATATATTTTGTATTGTGATATTACCATGTCCCATTGATAAAAATAGGTAGTACTGAGCTTGGTGGAATAATAATCAATCAATAATCAAACCCATTTAAAACCAGGTATTCAAGGACACTCAGCTGAGAATTTAGCCTTCTTGCATTTGTACACAACAACCTATCACATTTGTCAATATTTAGTTGTCTGCCTTCATGCGATGGAATTGAATAGGACTCTTTCTCATTTGACAGTTTCTCTTCAGCTACTACCTCTACTTTATGAACTTCTGTCCTTTCCTCTTTACTAGGATATACAGAATCCCCATTCAGCGATCCTCCCCTAAGGGATGGCTCTGTCCAAACCATGTGTTCCTTCACACCTATTGTCGTTCCCTCAGCCCTTAGTTTAATAGCCCCTTTATGACAGGTTTCAGAGTAACAGCCGTGTTAGTCTGTCTTCGCAAAAAGAAAAGGAGTACTTGTTTCTACTACAGTTTGTACTACAGTTTCCACGGTATGCATCCGATGAAGTGAGCTGTAGCTCACGAAAGCTCATGCTCAAATAAATTGGTTAGTCTCTAAGGTGCCACAAGTACTCCTTATCCCCTTTATGAACTTTTTAATTTTACATGCCAGAAGTCTGGTTCCATTTTGGTTTAGGCGGACCCCATCCTTCCTATATAGGTTCCTCCTTTCCCAAGAGGCACCCCAGTTCCTAATAAACCTAAAACCCTCCTCCCTACAACATCATCAAATGATGAGTCAAGAGACTGAGATTCACATGTGCAGCAAGATGAAGGTCTTTAAAGTTAGAGGGCCTCCAGCCATCTGCTGTCACAGTAATGGGTTGGTTCAAGAGGACATGCCATGGCCATTAAACCTGAGCTGTATCACGCATTTGAGTCTGAGCCCTATCACCGACAACTTTCTGACAATGTGCATTGTGGATTTTTCTTACATTCTGCAGGAGTTTCTCTTCAAAATCTTGCCTTGATACCAACATTTGTTTTCAGAAAACGATTTTCAAGTGCTCTAAAATTTACATGGAGATATTGGAGGGGTCGCTAATTCAGAGTTTTGAGAGCATTGCTCTGTCGATAATTGGTGTGAAAAAAAATCATTTCCCTGCCTGACATAGCTCGCTAGCAAAAGCTCTAATGTAGACATAGGTTTCAGAGTAGCAGCTCTGTTAGTCTGTATCCGCAAAAAGAAAAGGAGGACTTGTGGCACCTTAGAGAATAACAGATTTATTTGAGCATAAGCTTTCGCAGGCTACAGCTCACTTCATTGGATACATGCAGTGGAAAATATAGGGGGGAGATTTTATATACACAAAGAACATGAAATCTCCCCCCGTATTTTGCACTGCATGCATCCGATGAAGTGAGCTGTAGCCCGCGAAAGCTTATGCTTGAATAAATTTGTTAGTCTTTAAGGTTTACATGAAATCTCCCCCCTGTATTTTCCACTGTATGCATCAGATGAAGTGGGTTTTAGCTCATGAAAGCTTAGGCTCAAATAAATCTTTTAGTCTCTAAGGTGCCACAAGTCCTCCTGTTCTTTTCACCTTACCTGATCACTCTGGTTACAGTGTGTATGGTAACACCCATTGTTTCATGTTCTCTGTGTATATAAATCTCCCCACTGTATTTTCCACTGAAGGCATCTGATGAAGTGAGCTGTAGCTCATGAAAGCTTACGCTCAAATAAATTTGTTAGTCTCTAAGGTGCCACAAGTACTCCTTTTCTTTATGTAGACACAGTTAGTCTCTAAGGTTCCACAAGTCCTCCTTTTCTTTTTGCGAATACAGACTAACACGGCTGCTACTCTGAAAAGTGGCAAAAAAAGTCGATTAAAAAGAAATCAAGGAAGTTAAATGCCCCCAAACTACATGAGAGCAGAGTTACAGCTCCCCACTGCTGCCTCATGCCCTCCCAGCATGTGTATCGTGGGGAAAGTAAAACCCTCTGAAAACCAGGAAACGGAGCAGTAAACCAACAGGCCGCCCCTGCAATGCAACCTTAATTCTGCCCTTACCCCCGCACCCTGCAGCTGGCAAATGTCACGAGGGCGAGGTCAGTAAAGGTGGTGCCAAGGCGAACCATCCATCCGGGGAATCAGCAGATTTCCTATCTGCTGCAGTCTGCCGAGCGGGGCGGGGTGCCTTTGCTGCAGGGTCTTTTCATCGAAGCGCGAAGATTCAGCTCACGACCATGGGAACTGGCGGAACCCGGGTGAGCTGTGCTGACCCAAAATCGGGAGTGGGGGTGGGGGTAATAGGACCCTATAAAAGAGAAAGTCCCCAAAATCGGGAGTGGGGGTGGGGGTAATAGGACCCTATAAAAGAGAAAGTCTCCAAAATCGGGAGTGGGGGTGGGGCTAATAGGACCCTATAAAAGAGAAAGTCTCCAAAATCGGGAGTGGGGGTGGGGGTAATAGGACCCTATAAAAGAGAAAGACCCCAAAATCGGGAGTGGGGCTAATAGGACCCTATAAAAGAGAAAGACCCCAAAATCGGGAGTGGGGGTGGGGCTAATAGGACCCTATAAAAGAGAAAGTCCCCAAAATCGGGAGTGGGGGTGGGGGTAATAGGACCCTATAAAAGAGAAAGTCCCCAAAATCGGGAGTGGGGGTGGGGGTAATAGGACCCTATAAAAGAGAAAGTCCCCAAAATCGGGAGTGGGGGTGGGGGTAATAGGACCCTATAAAAGAGAAAGTCTCCAAAATCGGGAGTGGGGGTGGGGCTAATAGGACCCTATAAAAGAGAAAGACCCCAAAATCGGGAGTGGGGCTAATAGGACCCTATAAAAGAGAAAGTCCCCAAAATCGGGAGTGGGGGTGGGGCTAATAGGACCCTATAAAAGAGAAAGTCCCCAAAATCGGGAGTGGGGCTAATAGGACCCTATAAAAGAGAAAGTCCCCAAAATCGGGAGTGGGGGTGGGGGTAATAGGACCCTATAAAAGAGAAAGACCCCAAAATCGGGAGTGGGGGTGGGGGTAATAGGACCCTATAAAAGAGAGACCCCAAAATCGGGAGTGGGGCTAATAGGACCCTATAAAAGAGAAAGACCCCAAAATCGGGAGTGGGGGTGGGGGTAATAGGACCCTATAAAAGAGAAAGTCCCCAAAATCGGGAGTGGGGGGTGGGGCTAATAGGACCCTATAAAAGAGAAAGACCCCAAAATCGGGAGTGGGGGTAGGGGTAATAGGACCCTATAAAAGAGAAAGTCCCCAAAATCGGGAGTGGGGGTGGGGCTAATAGGACCCTATAAAGAGAAAGTCCCCAAAATGGGGAGTGGGGGTGGGGGTAATAGGACCCTATAAAAGAGAAAGACCCCAAAATCGGGAGTGGGGCTAATAGGACCCTATAAAAGAGAAAGTCTCCAAAATCGGGAGTGGGGGTGGGGGTAATAGGACCCTATAAAAGAGAAAGACCCCAAAATCGGGAGTGGGGCTAATAGGACCCTATAAAAGAGAAAGACCCCAAAATCGGGAGTGGGGGTGGGGCTAATAGGACCCTATAAAAGAGAAAGTCCCCAAAATCGGGAGTGGGGGTGGGGGTAATAGGACCCTATAAAAGAGAGACCCCAAAATCGGGAGTGGGGCTAATAGGACCCTATAAAAGAGAAAGACCCCAAAATCGGGAGTGGGGGTGGGGGTAATAGGACCCTATAAAAGAGAAAGTCCCCAAAATCGGGAGTGGGGGTGGGGCTAATAGGACCCTATAAAAGAGAAAGACCCCAAAATCGGGAGTGGGGGTAGGGGTAATAGGACCCTATAAAAGAGAAAGTCCCCAAAATCGGGAGTGGGGGTGGGGCTAATAGGACCCTATAAAAGAGAAAGTCCCCAAAATGGGGAGTGGGGGTGGGGGTAATAGGACCCTATAAAAGAGAAAGACCCCAAAATCGGGAGTGGGGGTGGGGGTAATAGGACCCTATAAAAGAGAAAGACCCCAAAATCGGGAGTGGGGCTAATAGGACCCTATAAAAGAGAAAGTCTCCAAAATCGGGAGTGGGGGTGGGGGTAATAGGACCCTATAAAAGAGAAAGACCCCAAAATCGGGAGTGGGGCTAATAGGACCCTATAAAAGAGAAAGACCCCAAAATCGGGAGTGGGGGTGGGGCTAATAGGACCCTATAAAAGAGAAAGTCCCCAAAATCGGGAGTGGGGGTGGGGGTAATAGGACCCTATAAAAGAGAAAGTCCCCAAAATCGGGAGTGGGGGTGGGGCTAATAGGACCCTATAAAAGAGAAAGACCCCAAAATCGGGAGTGGGGGTAGGGGTAATAGGACCCTATAAAAGAGAAAGTCCCCAAAATCGGGAGTGGGGGTGGGGCTAATAGGACCCTATAAAAGAGAAAGTCCCCAAAATGGGGAGTGGGGGTGGGGGTAATAGGACCCTATAAAAGAGAAAGACCCCAAAATCGGGAGTGGGGGTGGGGGTAATAGGACCCTATAAAAGAGAAAGACCCCAAAATCGGGAGTGGGGCTAATAGGACCCTATAAAAGAGAAAGTCTCCAAAATCGGGAGTGGGGCTAATAGGACCCTATAAAAGAGAAAGACCCCAAAATCGGGAGTGGGGCTAATAGGACCCTATAAAAGAGAAAGACCCCAAAATCGGGAGTGGGGGTGGGGGTAATAGGACCCTATAAAAGAGAGACCCCAAAATCGGGAGTGGGGCTAATAGGACCCTATAAAAGAGAAAGACCCCAAAATCGGGAGTGGGGGTGGGGGTAATAGGACCCTATAAAAGAGAAAGTCCCCAAAATCGGGAGTGGGGGTGGGGCTAATAGGACCCTATAAAAGAGAAAGACCCCAAAATCGGGAGTGGGGGTAGGGGTAATAGGACCCTATAAAAGAGAAAGTCCCCAAAATCGGGAGTGGGGGTGGGGCTAATAGGACCCTATAAAGAGAAAGTCCCCAAAATGGGGAGTGGGGGGTGGGGGTAATAGGACCCTATAAAAGAGAAAGACCCCAAAATCGGGAGTGGGGGTGGGGGTAATAGGACCCTATAAAAGAGAAAGACCCCAAAATCGGGAGTGGGGCTAATAGGACCCTATAAAAGAGAAAGTCTCCAAAATCGGGAGTGGGGGTGGGGGTAATAGGACCCTATAAAAGAGAAAGACCCCAAAATCGGGAGTGGGGCTAATAGGACCCTATAAAAGAGAAAGACCCCAAAATCGGGAGTGGGGGTGGGGCTAATAGGACCCTATAAAAGAGAAAGTCCCCAAAATCGGGAGTGGGGGTGGGGGTAATAGGACCCTATAAAAGAGAAAGTCCCCAAAATCGGGAGTGGGGGTGGGGCTAATAGGACCCTATAAAAGAGAAAGACCCCAAAATCGGGAGTGGGGGTGGGGGTAATAGGACCCTATAAAAGAGAAAGTCCCCAAAATCGGGAGTGGGGGTGGGGCTAATAGGACCCTATAAAAGAGAAAGTCCCCAAAATGGGGAGTGGGGGTGGGGGTAATAGGACCCTATAAAAGAGAAAGACCCCAAAATCGGGAGTGGGGGTGGGGGTAATAGGACCCTATAAAAGAGAAAGACCCCAAAATCGGGAGTGGGGCTAATAGGACCCTATAAAAGAGAAAGTCTCCAAAATCGGGAGTGGGGCTAATAGGACCCTATAAAAGAGAAAGACCCCAAAATCGGGAGTGGGGGTGGGGCTAATAGGACCCTATAAAAGAGAAAGTCCCCAAAATCGGGAGTGGGGGTGGGGCTAATAGGACCCTATAAAAGAGAAAGTCCCCAAAATCGGGAGTGGGGGTGGGGTAGGGGGTAATACCCCCCCCTCCCAGCGGCCGGTGGAGCCCCCGGGGAGACCAGAGGCACCGGGAGGAGACGGGCGCTCACACGGGGGCGGTTGGACGCGGGGGAGGGGCCGCGAGGAGGGTTGGACGCGGGGGCGGGGCTAGGAGGGAGGTTGGACCCGGGGGCGGGGCCGGGGGGCGGTTGGACGCGGGGGCGGGGCCGGGGGCGGTTGGACCCGGGGGCGGGGCCGGGGGGCGGTTGCATGCGGGGGCGGGGCTAGGAGGACGGTTGGACGCGGGGGCGGGGCCGGGGGGCCGGTTGGACGCGGGGGCGGGGCCGGGGGGCGGTTGGACCCGGGGGCGGGGCCGGGGGGCGGTTGGACGCGGGGGCGGGGCTAGGAGGACGGTTGGAGCCGGGGGCGGGGCCGGGGGACGGTTGGAGCCGGGGGCGGGGCTAGGAGGACGGTTGGAGCCGGGGGCGGGGCCGGGGGGCGGTTGGTTCGAGCCCCAGCGGGCGGGACGCGCGGGCACCAGAGTCCGCCTGAGGCGCGGGCAGGCGCCGGCGGGGGCGGGTCAGGCTGACCCCGGGGCCCGCCCTGCCCTGGGCCGGAGGAGGCGGAAGCGGCGCCCGGGGCAGGCTGGGAGATGTAGTTCCTGAGTCTCCCGGGAGCGGAAGTGACGTCGGAGGGGGGAGGCGGAGCCGGGCTGGGCTCGCGCGGGGCCGGGGAGCGGTTGGGGCCGTTGGAGCTCTGGGCATGCGCAGATTGCGGGGGCGGGGGGGCGGCGCGAGACCTTCGTTAACCCCCCCGTGCCCGGCCCGGGCCCCGCTCCCGCCGGAGCCGCCCTGGGGCCGCCCCGGGCTCCGCCCGCCCCGCTGCGGCGCTGCAGCCTCCAGGTACCGGAGCGACCCCGGGGGGGGGCCGGGCGGTGACTCTGCCCCGGGTCCGGGGGGGGGACCCGGCCTCTCGCAGCGCCGGGATCTGCCCCCGGGGGGGCCGGGCGGGGGGGGCGGGAAAAATGTCGGCGCGGCCCGGACGTGGCCGGGGGGGAGGAGCCGGGCCCCCCCGGGGAGCGGGGAGAGGCGGGGGGGGGCTGAGATCCCCTCGGATTTACCGCTGCCCCCTCCCCTGGGACCCCCCGCTCCCGCCCTGCCCCCTTTCTGTCCCCACAGCAGCGAGGGGGAGCCCGGGTGACCCCCCCCTTCCCCCATCTCCCTGAGACGGGCTCTGCCCCCCCCGTACCCCGTTTCCTCCCCCTCCGCCCGTGGCCAGTTCAGGTCTCCGGTCTGGGGGGTCCCCGGCCCCCCATTTTCCCTGCTGGTCCCATTCCCAGACCCCCGCCCAGCCAGTGACCTTGTGACTCCAGCCCCCCGGCGGCGTTCCCCGCCCAGGGCTCCCTGCGTCCCACTGGGGTGTTGGTGGAATATCACTCTATGGTCCCCTCCAATTTCCCCGCTTCTCCCCAGCTGACATCAGGCCCCCCCTTGTGCCAGGTAAAACTGAGACGCGGACCGAGATCACGGCCCCCCTCGTGCCAGGCAGCGCACCACTGCGGCCTCCGGGGTCCCGGGCGCGTCAGAGACCTCCGCTGAGACCTGTGTCCCCGCTGGGCCTGGCCCTGCACTGGCCCTGACAAAGATCCTCTCCCCGCATTTTGCCAGGCGCTGCAGGGACCCCAAAGAAAATCAGGGAGCCTGTAATGCCGGGATTTACAGAGCCCGGACCGAGGTCGGGGCCCCCTTGGGACAGGGGCTGCGCAGACCCCCCGGGTACCCCCACCTGCCATTCGACGCCCGCCGCTGGCCCATGCCGCCGGCTCGGGCGCCCAGGGCTCGGGCGAAGGGGCTGGTTCAGGGCAGGGCAGGGGTCTGGGCTCGGGCTGGAGGACCCTGCGAGGTGGGAGGGGGCCGGGCCTTGGGCTGCAGCCCAAGCCGGACCATCAACGCCCCCATTCAACAGCCCCGCAGCCTGAGCCCTGTGAGCCCCTGTCCGCGGGCACGGGCCGGCCGCCGGTGCCCACCTGCAGGGTAGACGTGCCCACAGCGACCGAGGGTCCTTGCCACAAAAACCCCAAAGGCTAAATCGGGAAATGGTGGGCGGCTGCTCTCCGTTTTACAGATGGGGAAACTGAAGCTCAGAGAGCTGAAGTAACTTGCTCAAGTTTGCATGGAGAATTTGGGGCGAAACTGGGATCTGAACCCAGATTGTTTGAATTCTTGCCTCTCCCCTTAACCCCAAACCAAGCGTGCGTATGCACAGTGTTGTTCTGGTCTGAGTGTTTGCATCTCATTGGCTTCCAAGGGAGGCTGTGACATTTCCTTCATGGGAGGTTTTGAAGACCAGGTTAGAGGTAGACCTGTCTGGGAGTGTCTAGGGCAGGGGTCTCAAACTCAAATGACCACGAGGGCCACAGGAGGACTAGTGCATTGGCCCGAGGGCTACATCACTGACACCCCGCCTCACTGCTCCTGGCCCCGCCCCCATTCCACCCCTTCCATGTGGCCCCACCCCTGCCCCGCCTCTTCCAACCCCTTCCCCAAATTTTTTGCTGCTAGGAGTTGCAGACTGACTACATGCCATTGTAGGCAGTCCCATCCTACCACCCCATCCATAAACTTATCAAGTTCAGTCTTGAAGCCAGTTAGGTATTTTGCCCCTACTGCTCCCCTTGGGAGGTTGTTCCAAAACTTCACGCTGATGGTTAGAAACCTTCGCCTAATTTCAAGCCAAAACTTATTGACGGCCAGTATCCATTTGTTCTAGGGCCAACATTGGTGCTTAACCTAAATAACTCCTCTCCTTCCCTGGTATTTATCCTTGTGATGTATGTATAGAGAGCAATCCTATCTCCCCTCAGCCTTCTTTTGGTTCGGCTAAACGAGACAAGCTCTTTGAGTCTCCACTCATAAGGCAGCTCATAGTTAGCCTCTGATCAACCAATACACCGAGGTCTTTCTCCTCCTCTGTCACTTCCAACTGATTACTCCCCAGCTTATTGCAAAAGTTCTTGTTGTTAGTTCCTAAATGCATAATTTTGCACTATTAATTTTCATCCAATTTCTATTACTCCAGCTTTCAAGGTCATGCAGATCTTCTTGGATGATATTCCTGTCCTCCTCCATATTGGCAATCCCTCCCAGCTTTGTGTCACACTCCCACTTTCTGTGCCAAGGTCACTAATAAAAATGTGGAATAAGATTGGTCCCAAGACCGATCGCTGAGGAACTCCACTAGTAACCTCCCTCCAGCCTGACAACTCACCATTCAGTATGACCCCTTGTAGTCTCCCCTGTAACCAATTCTTTATCGACTTTTCAGTTCTCACATTAGTCCCCATCTTCTCCAATTTAACAAATAGTTTCCCGTGTGGAACTCTATCAAATGCCTTACTGACATCCAGATAGATGAGAGCTACTGCATTTCCTTTGTCCAAAACATTAGTTATCTTCTCACAGAAAGAGATCAGGTTGCTCTGGCAGGACCTACCTTTTGTAACACCATGTTTTATTTATTTATAGAGCTGAAGGCTGGAAGGAACTGTTAGCAATAGGCTGAGAGTGGCCATGTGGAGGTGGGGGAAGGGATGGCAGACCGTGCGGAGGTGGGAGGGGATGCGGTGTTGGATTTTGTCTCTGCTCCCTGTGGCCATGGTGGCTTCCGTACCAAAGCAGCATGTCAGCGGAGCAGACGCACACACCATAGCTCCATCTGGAACACGCGGCGTTCACTGCCAGACGGGATGGGCGATTTTTCAGGGGCCCAGCTTGATATGCCTGGCTGGGGTGGATTCAGTTGGACGGGGGTCTGGGGCTCTGATAGTTTGGGATGTTCCTTTTTGCATAGTCAGTTCTTTCTCTTTATTGTTTTACCCCCGCCTGTGCCCGACGCCGTTCTCTTCTTAACTTGCTTTGGTTACTTCAGTTCCAGTTTTTAAATGGGATCTAAGAATTGCAAAGCTGAATGAAAGATAAACCAAACAGAACCATTTGAATTTTGGCACATACCTGGTAGAAGTACACCTCGTGAGGGTACGCTGTAATTACCTAGTTACCTGTAGCATTTTCTGGTGGGGTGGATAAAGCAATGTCAAAGAGCCAAAAGTGCTTTTTAGGGCAAAAGGGCTTGTCAGGTGTTTGCTCTCACCATCTTTTTTTTTTAAAGCTATGCACCGCACACAGTCAAGTTAATGAATGAAAGCACACTAATTATTGCCTGCTTTGTGTTGCATTCACATCTGATTAAGCACCTAATTAAAACTGTACCACTGTAAGTGGAAACACCTCAACACATCTTAGCTCCAATGTGTTTTAAATCTGAATGAACAGTTTCTAAATTAAATACATGGCAGGATGGTAAACAGGGGGAAAATACACAGAAGTGCCTCTACCCAGTCCTGTTGACTCCTTGTCCCAACCCCCAATGAGTTCTGGCCTCTTGGTCAACTGAGCTCCCAGTCCCATATCAGCTGTGCCCTCTGCTAGCCTAACCCGTTTCTACTGCAGTTCTTCATCCCCCTCGTCCAGGCAGGGGGTTGGCGCTGCAGCCCCTAAGGCACCTGCGTTAATCACTCTCTCACATACTGGGGCTATTTAGATTTCAGGGAACGATTTATCAGAGTTACTGACTCTGGGAGGTGGGAGAGAGGAGAGACTGAGAGGGAGTTTGTTCCCCACACTCTGCTGGGCCATGTTCAACCCTGGTAGTCTCCATGTTACCTCATCCTCCACCCTCCCCCATGTGTCTCTGCTCATGTGTCAGAGTGTCCCCTTCTGATCATAATGCCACTGGCCTCAGCAGAGCTCCCAGACAGGAGCTACCTCATGATGGGGTTGCGGTACTGAGAGTAAAATACATCCAAGGGAGGGTGTAATTATCCTCAAAGCAACCATTACAATACAGGAATTGAAAGAATTAAAGTACTTTATTACTTAAAAGTACTCTTGAAAGGATTGTATTTTTATGAATAAATTGCAGTAAATGTTCATTTCACTGTACAGGCAAAATATAGAAATGCTTCTGGAGAAAGTTGAGTTTGATTTATGGATATTTACACTATATATTTTGCATGTGAGATTGACAATTTGTGTTTGAACGGTTCTAAAAATTGTTGGCTGATGACCCCTATAACTTCCCACAGCTCTGAACATTGAAATTGTGAACATTAAAAAAAGCTTAAAAATAAATATCGATATCATCTGTTGAATTTGAAAGAAAGAAATAAACAGAATGAATTTTGCCAAACCCACTTAACAGCAATCGCAATATGCTACTCAGGTACCCAACCTTAATTCTGCCCTGTAGTGACACCAGGTAATCTCCATAGGGCTAGGAATAAGGCATTTTACTGTATAAAGTGCCAGATTAGATTATACCAATTTGTAAAGACACATGAGATCGTTCCCTAAGGGTGTCCGCTTCACTGGGTTGTTTCTTTTATTGGTAATTCCCAGAAGTGAATAGATAAATAACCTTCTATTGGTTATGAAGTGCCCATTTCAGATTTCTGGGGAGTGTGTATAATTTTGCACGAGAGGCCAGGTCCTTGGGGAGACGGAGCCTTGGTTTCATTTTAACTTGTGCATGCGCAGCAGCTTCTGGAATTTGGTGCAAAGTCAGAATTTCTTTTTTTTTTTTTTGGCATGCAGAAGATCCATTCTGCCCGAGAAGTGCTGCGGTTCTGCCCTTCACCCACCAGAGGCCCCTGTGGCACCAGAACGGCTGCGGCCAGCTGGGTTCATCTTGGTGGGAAATTGTTGCCCTGAGCTACACCCCAAATGGGAAGAGAGTTAGTGGGTGCAACTTGGGAGAGTCCTGAGACATGGCTGCCCCTGGGGGTGGGGAGAGGGTGGTCATTCTCTACTCGCAAGAGGGTGTGGAAGGGGCACAGGAGGAGCAA